TATATATCCACCCAGTCTCACTACCTTACCAGAACAGGAGTGGATCCTCAGCGGGGTCCAGTGTGGGCTGCTGTGCTGTGATGGAGCTCCACCCATATGTGCATTGCTTGTACAGTTTCCTTGCACACCCTGTAGAGGTGCCGGGAGCCAGAATGTGATGTCACTCCGGTCCAGGCATCTTTACAGGACACGCAAGGGAGCTGTAAGCATTGCACATATGGATGGAGCTTCCTTGTGCCCATACCCCCAGCCCACCCCACCTCAAGCTGACATTTGGCACCTAGGTGGAGGCTAGGGGGGAAGCTGAGGACCCTCTCACCTAGAAAAGTGGAAGGCACACGGGGTCGCAACCCCCTTTTGGGTCACGACCCACCAGTTGAGAACCAAGGGTCTAGTGAGTATAACTTGCTCTTTGTGTTTTAGCACCCAGACAAAAACGAGCACTTAACCCTTGCAGTACGGGGGTAGCCCCACTGCAAGGGTTCCGAAAAATGTTAAACGGAGTTCCTCTTTAACAATATAAAAACATTACTTTTAAAACGACATTTACATGTTAAAGCTTTTTTTGAGATTCTAGTGATTGGACTTTAAATAGTAAGAGGGCCAGCACTGGTACACATTACATCAGTGAGCAGACTGATAACCTACTAACTCTGGCAAGTTACACTTTGGGGTCTATATGTAAAGATCTAAAAAAAACAAAACAAATCACAGCATTTTCCATTCTGATTTTGGCAGATAACGGGCAACATATCAGGGGTCATCTTTCCATGTATAAAGGTCTAAAACTACATGCAGAGAAACTATTCCTAAAAGGTCCTAAAAGTATGACTCAGAATCACTGTAGATCACCAAAGTAAATGTTTTTAAGGTATTACATTAGGTCAGCGCTGAGCCTCTAAAAAAAAAAAAAAAAAAAAAAAAAAGAATATTTCAAAAAAGTGTGCCCCAAACCTGGAGATATTAGGCCAGCACTACACTCAAACGGGCAAAAAATTCCTTATTAATCTGATAAATGGAGAGGAGTCAATGTAAAAAAAAACATGACCCACCAGTAGCATCAAATGTTGGCGCTTTACTTCACTCTGCTAGATCTACAATATAACCATACTCTGTGTTACTGGATTTTTCTAGAACCCAGTCCACCCTTCTTGGAGAATGTCTGTGGTATAAACACCTTAAGAGCAAAGCCGCTGCTTCTGACACACCTAACAACACATCAACTTAAGGAAGTATGTAAGAAATTCCTTTAGCAGATGCATCTACAACACAAAAACAAAATACTCAAGGATGTGCGCACACCGCTTCTGCTGTTGTCATTATATGTTTGCAGAAAATTCCCTGTAGAATGTTAAGATGACCTGTGTGATCTGACAGCTCTATACGGGGAACACACAACAGTCAAAAAAATTTTATACTCACGAAAATTTGTACTTATCTCCACTGAGAAGCTTCTTTGAAAAGACGTTCTGCAAGCTGGAACAAAACATATTTATTTTCATCAAGTGGCAAATGGTAAATCGATTTTTTCCATTTAATGCCAATTTCTTTAAAAAAAAGTACCTCTGCCGCCCATTACAAAACAATATCCCAAACCGTGCAGAGCAAATATCTAAGAACTGCCATGGTTGTTTCTGAATAAGCATACTCCACATTTCTGCTTTACTTCTTATTGAGTCACTGACTCAGAACAAACATACAGCCAGTGAACATAAATTAAAGGAGAACTATGAGGCTAGTGCTTGTGAGTGACAGCTGTCTCTGCCTCTAGATAGGCAGAGCCAGCTGTCACTCACGCAGCTGGGCAGATCCAGACATAATTGTTGGGATCCACTTCAGATGCGGCGTCTCAGTATACCGCGAGCTGTAGCTCGCGGTATACTGAGCTTAGGGTGACGCTAGTTTGTGTCCTCCCGTTACCCTTAGGAGAACTATGGGGAAAAGCCCTAACCCCATAGTTCTCCTTTAAAGTGAAAATGTCCTTAAGTGCAGCTACACTTATTTTGTAGAAGCCCCAACCTTACACTCAACTTTCCCGAATCTGGCTATATATTGGCTGTGTGACCACATCAGCCCTGCACAGACGCTCAATAAAATGTTCCTGGCTAGGCCCATAAATGCACTCTGGCTCTCATTCAATCATATGAAGCTCTCTGGAGTACAAGCTTGTATTCCAGACAAACTGTCCATATAAATGAATGAGAGTGCATGGGCCAGGAAGATTTTGACAAGCAGCCATAGTTGCACAGCCAATATCTAGCAGGATCAGGGACAGGTGAGTATAGGCTTTGCAGGGCCACACATTTAGCAGAGCAGAAGGTAAGCATTTTGGCAGGAGGGGATTATATTGGGATGGGATGGGATGGGGATGGGGAGGGTTGGTTTTTGTCTCTTTAGCACCAAAAATCTTTTTAGTAGGGTAATTTACTGAATAAAACAGCTCACGGGAAGGTCAATCCAAAGCAGGTGGAAATATCTCTATCAAGTGATACCACGATGATCTTACCAATCCATGATGTTTGTAGATAAGGCTGCAGAAAAGCCAAGAACATTAAAACTGATTTCACTTGCAGTGCAGAGTGCAAGACCACCCATCACTGGCAGAAGGGACAGATTCACCACCATTCCTGCAAGGTGAGAGTATTAAAAGGTAAAAAAAAGATCTATCAAAACCCTCCATTTAAAGTGAGGCTGTAGCGTTCATGCTGGTATTTATGTTCTGTATCTTGCCCTTTGCTGGATAAATCCTAATCACTGCTGGTTTCCTCATCTTCGGAAAAGCCCACATCAGGGCTAGCAAATGTGCAAGCGAAAGTATTTTTTTATTTTATTGTTTATCCGATTAACCGATTAATCGAACCTAATAATCGGCTAACTAATCGATTTTGAAAATAATCGTTAGCTGCAGCTCTATTTTCTGGTTCAAGTGCTGCCCTACTGCTGCAACCTTACCCACACATACTGAAGCATAGAACACGTTCTATAGCCCAATATCACATGAAAACAGCCTGCAATGCAATCTAGATGCACGAAAATCCTGATGAAAATGGCTGCAATGGATAATATAAATCTCGAATTTAAAGAAGCCTGTGTGTAATAGGCTATTTATGGCTGATTTCTTACTTAAAATCTTAGTTGCCTGGCTTTAAGTTGATCCTCTGGTTTCAATACTTTTCAAGTGACTGAGCCAGAACATGCTTGCAGATCAGAAAACTGAGAAGTCCCTATGTGCATAATTGTTTTTAGTCAGTGCCTCAGAGTACTTAGGGTATGTTCACACCATAGCCTGACCAGATTCGGAGTAAATCTGCAGACGCAGTGCAGTGCGTTTTTAACCACGTTTTTTTTTCTAGCCTAAAATGGGCTTTCAGGTGCAGTCCAGTGCATTTGGATGTGTTTTCTATACGTTTACATGCATTCCAGACCAGAGAAAATGAGACAAGCATTTTTTTTTTTTTTTGTCTGGACCGGAACGGACTGAGCTGGTGTGAACAGAGCCCAAAAATACCATAGGGATACATTGGGATGCTGTTCTGGTCCCGGAACAAACTGTTCTGGTCCCGGAACAAACTGTTCTGGTCTGGACGTGGTGTGAACAAGCCCTAAAGCCAGAACATCAGCATGAGGGCCCAGTCACACCATTAAAAGTGTGTTCCAATGCGTTCAGGCTCTGGAACGCACTAGAATGCAACCCGGCCGGGCTCCTTTTTTGGGGGGGCGGGAGGGGGCATGGCATTGACCTCAATGGCACCACAGCCACGGCCCCTGTCCGTGTTGCGATCACCGGCACTCGAACGTGTGTCACATTAGTGCCTGCGTTCCGGTCCACTGCGATCTGCAAAAAATTGTGTTTGCAGCATTTTTTGCAGATCGCACTGGACCGGAACGCAGGCACTAATGTGCCATGTGTTCGGGTGGCGGCGATCACACCAAGGGTGTGGGGCGTGGCTGTGGTGCCATTGAGTTCAATGCATCACCACGCCCACTCCCGCCCCCCAAAAAACCTGAGTCGGCCGGGTTGCATTCCAGAAGCCGAACGCACTAGAACGTACTCCTGATGGTGTGACAGGGCCCTGAAAGCTGGCCAAAAGGCATTTTCAGAAGGTCAGCAATTGTAGCCATCAAACATCGAGAAGTTTCCTTTAAAAAATAATTGTACTTTTACAGAAAGAGCAGTTATAATTTTAAACACCCCCTTACCCACCTAAACTAACCCTTCTCCACTTGCCAACCTGAGATGTATACTTGCCTGAATTTGATGACTGAGGCCCGCAGGTATCTTCAGCGCCTCTGGCCAAAATCTTCTCTCCCCTGACCAGGATTGAGCAGGAGAACCCCATTACCTTCAATGAAGCCATCTCCCAAGTGGTTCCTGTATCAATAGATCACCCCACAGAAGCCTAGAGGGTTTTACTGCGCAGGCAGAGCAAGGAAAAAGAATTGGCTGAAGGCATTAAAGATTCCTGCAGGCTGTGCTCATGCAATTTAGGAGCATATGTATCTGAGACAAGCAAGAGGTGTTAATTTAGGACGGGGGCAAAAAGGATAACTGTATTTTCTACGAAAGTGCAGTCGTCCTTTACAATCTCTTGGAATGACTGTTTGGTTTTCTTACAGCTAGGTGAAATGTGTGCAAACAGAAGAAGTAATCACAGACTCACCTGTATACTCTCCCAGTATCAGTCTGGACATTATAACTGTAAAAATAGGTGCGGAGCTTTTAACAGTTTCGGCAAAAGACACTGCCACATTCTTCAAGCTGACAAGACCTAGGACCACGGTGGAGAATCTGGAAAAATTATGAAATATGATGGCAAATCTAAAAACAAAGCAGTATAGCTAGCAGACATATCATAAGAAATATGTAAATGCTATTTTATTACTTCATCCCAGGACAATAAAAAAAAATCAGCGTACGATAAACTTTCTCCTAGGACAAAAGAAGTGTACAGTGTATGAAGGGAACAGGGAAGTCCAAGGACAAAGACGCCAGCTTCTGAAACCCACGGCAGGTAGTGGCTTATGTTTCTTTCTTTAAAGCAAGCTTAAGCTGGCCGTACACCTATAGGTTATCTGCAGGTTTTCTATGGTCAGATGGAAAAAGTTCCTCCATCTACGCTAAACTGTGTGGGTGGCGGAATATCCCTCTGGGCCAAGCTTCAGTCTTCAATCACTTCAATTCAATCTTTAATCGGCCCCGCTGGCTCTCAAAATACCTGAACAATGCCTGCATCCAATCAGGTTGTTCAGGTATTTTGAGAGCCAGCAGAGCCGACTAGCAAGATAATAAAGCTTGGCCCAGTGTGAGATTCCTCCATCCGCACAGTTTAGCGTAGATGGAGGAATCTGTTGCACTTTTTCCATCTGACCATAGAAAACCTGCAGATAATCTATAGGTGTATGGCCAGCTTTAGGCTCCAGCTGTACCTTTTTAAGGAGCATTGTCTACAAGGCTCCTGGGACTTGTCCAGCCTTGCCTTATGGTGTAGTATTCAGAGTCACAACATGTGAAGAACATATTATAAGTAGATAAGTTGGGTGCCTTACATTGTGTAGGTAAGTGACCATGTGATCATGGTACTACAACCAGGTTAAAGCAGCTTGTGGAGGATAGCAGAGTCCCCACACAGATAAGGGTCACCCCCAGTGCTCCAGGGTTGCCAATCTGAGACGTCCAGTGGGTGATATCAGGATGATGTGTGTTTATGTAAAAAAAACCGTCAATGAGGAGTGTCAGAGGTGCTTTTGAGGGTGTGTTGGCACTGTAGATTAGTGTAATCCAAGTCTTGATGCCAAAGGGCTGTGGATACAGTAGTCTAAGGCGGCAAACATTAATCATTAATAAGAAGAGTTTGCAACTATTCTCAAGCTTGGCGTAGATGGAGGAATACGTTGCACTTTTTCCATCTGACCACAGCAAATCTGCAGATAATCTATAGGTATATGGTCAGCTTTCGGCATATCCCAAAAGCCAGGTAGCCAATGGGCCACAAATGTACAGATGGAGTCTGTAGCTGGAAGATACTTAAGCACACAAACTAAATGGAAAACACCAAAGAGCTAGATTACACCTAAATCTTCAGTCACAAATGGCAAAAATATAGATATGGCAAACTAACCTTTCTGTGTTATATATGTACTGAGCTTTATATAGGTCAACCATTTCAAATACTTGTATCCCTTTCAAGTGAAGAACAGCCTTTTGACAGTATGGAAATAACATAATAACCATATATCTATTTCCTTTATTTTTCAAGGTGGAACTATTTACTTTGCTCTCTCCGGAACACGTAGTTTGCACATTACTATGGGAGAACTGTAAACAGAGTTATCCAGTTACCTACTATTGTGCATTCTATGTATACAATTGCTATGCATACATATAGCCTGACGTGACTTTGGGTCACACAAGTACATTAGTAAATGTGACCCAAAAGATAAGGACAAAAAAGGTTTGGCAAAAACAAAAATGTAATATTACAGTTTACCAATCCCTCAGATATGGTGGCTACAATAGTTTTCTTTCATTCAGGCTAAGAACATCTTCAGCAAGTACACAAAATACCTGCTGAATGCCGTGCCTTTGTCATTTCCTATAAGCTGAGAAAAAGCACAAACATCCTTATCTCTCTCCTAATCTCATCAACCTACCATGTAATGGAGCTGAAACCTGAAAGAGAAAACCAATCACCACTGATGATTCTAAGGACTGGTAAGCTGCAATATATTTGTTTTTGGGTTTAGATACACTTTAATGTAAACCTGTCCTTATGAAAAACAAACAAACTATGAACTGAATGTATTTTGGCTGTCTAATTAGTAGGGACGAATCATGTTAATTTAGATTTTGGACCTTGCATCCATGAAATGTTTGTAATCATGGATAAGCGTTAATTATGGTTAATGTTGTCTATTGCAACAACTAGAACTCATTTTATTGTATTTATTTATATGAATAATACATTTTGATATATTTCATTTATGCATGGTGTGATACCTCTCTACAAAACCCTTTATTTCCCATGTTTTTCCGTACAATACACATTAGGGTGAGAGGTGAAAGTAAGAGGCCAAGGTGGGGGCAATCCACAAGTTTTTTAGCTTATGGAAAAAAATGTAAAATGGCTGCCGGGAAAAATGCAGCAACATATCTTCATCGAACTTCAAGAGCGCCCCAGAAGCTCTAACACAGGAACGTCAACATTTCCTGGGAAAGTTCAATGCTAGCTGCACTGTCCTATTGGCCCATCACTGAGAGGGGTGACCTCACCGGGAAACAGGCATTTGTATGGGGCAGCCGGAGGTGCCAGAATTTAAATATTTATGCTTCTTAGGATTTGGGACTCTGAGGGTGCTCCTAACCACCATATGCACAGGCATCTGAAGACTGCATTTAATTCCAGATGTCATTTAATAATGCTTTAGATCCCTGGTGCTCAACACACGGGCTGCTGGCCCCGTGTGTGGCCTGCCTTGTCCAGGGCTGGGCCGCCACTTGTTGGGCACCTGTGGGAAGAGCGGTAGCAGGGTGCCGAGTGCCGAAAAACATGTTAAACACTGCACAGACCACCAATCAGGGGGGTTAAATAGCACTGCTAGTGAGCACCAGTTGGGGTTATTGCAGTCACTGACATGAATATTAGAGGGTTATTATTGCAGTCACCGACTCCAATACTGGGGGAACACACAAAAGAAGCACAGCTCCTCCATGGCTCAGAAAAAGAATGAGCCGGGTGCTTGCTGGGAGCATGTCCTTGCTCCAATATGATCCCAAACAAACAGAAGAAAAGCTGGCCACACACTGGATTCCACTGGGGTAGTTTATTGAAACTTGTACCACATCAATGGTGTCCCACCCAAGGTCTGCCCCCTCTGACAAGTTTCACCCAATCACGGGCTTAGTCGTAGAGAACAATACTGGGGGGATTTTATTGAATCCAATAATGGGGGTATTTTTTTCCAGTCACTGAAACCAGTACTGGGGCTTATTATTGCGGTCACTGAAACCAATGTTGAGGGCTATGTTGGTGGCAAAGTAACCCCATGCTGTAGGGTTTTATACCATCCACGGACAGCAAAGCTGTGGGGTTTTATTGCAGCCAATGACACCAATGCTGGGGAGGTTTATGTGGCCACTGACACCAAAGCTGTGCGGTTTTATTGCAGCCAATGACACAAATGCTGGGGACGTTTATGTGGCCACTGACACCAATGATCACTCTCCAACTTTCTCTTCAATGTGCACATTGTGGTACATTGCAGAAAATGCAGCAGAATGGAATCTTTTTAGACGCCGAGTTTCAGCCTATTGGGTTTCCATAGCTTGATGTAGTGCACCTCAATGTACTGTAATAAAGCAGAAGAGGTAGTCACCAGCACTCCAGTATTTGCTCCATCAATACTTCTTTATTGACTTTTAAAAGGTCATTTCACAATGTAAAACAACGTTTTGGATCCATGTCGGTCACTTCATCAGACATGATGAAGTGATGACGTAGGACCTACAACGTACAGTAAGGCGCTGCTATTGTTTGGTACTCTACAATATATAAGTTGACCATCGCTATTTTACTTAGTGACATGTTCACTTTAAGATGTCCACAGGCATTAGGTGATGGTTTAATGCACGGATCAGACAAAACAATGTACAGTCTATGAGCTGCCTGGATAGGCTAGAAAACCTGCAGAATCCAGACAAAAGGTTAGTTCTGGCACACTGTGTCCATTATAGGTGCTTTTCCGAGTAGTAGAGGATTGTACAGTGTTGACCATTGATTCATGCAGAGATTTTAGTGTTTAAGTGATGCTCTTTATTGGCTAATGTACATAATTATAAAGGCCAGTTTTCAGGATTCCCTATATCCTTTCATCAGGCTTTATACATTAGGAAATGTATAAAGCCTAACGCCCCCTGACAAAGGGATCTAAGGAATCCTGAAAGCGTGCATCTTTAATAATTAATGTTAGTCAATAAAGTGCATCACTTAAACTCCAAACTTTCTCTGAGCATTTCTCTCCAATGATCAGCTGGGTCTTTCTGTTGGAACAGTCTGGTCATATATGGCCTCCCAGGTTACCAGCATCTTTCACAGCTGGAATTACACTGTCCAAAAAAATTTCCTCTGTACAATAATGACAATACAGACAGCAGAACTCTCAAGAACCACTCTGTGAATTTACCTCATGAGCCCAACAAAGAGCATGATCATTAGGAAGTTTGGAGGATAGCTGAGACGTGCTTTGTGCTGGTACAGACAGCAGGGAATGAACATCTTGATGCAGCCAATAAAAGTGGTCGTCAGCATTTGTACAGCTCCTGAAACAGGAACACAGAAGAAGATACACCGTACAATCAGCAGTTATCAAGGCACAACTGAAAGCCCAGATTCCCCTTTCCTCACTTCCACTCTCTGTAAAGATATTAGCTGTGCAATCTCAAAGCGATATTGTAATAAAGTGACATTAAAGTCAGAACTGTTTGGTGTCATTTGTGACAAATGCTGTTTAAATCACTTACAATGGATGCTGCTCACTGATATGTTTTAAAGTTTTAGTTTCCTGCAGAATCAGTTGGTCCCCTGAGCACTGACCTTGATATCCTGTTTAGGGTGGCTCCTTACCCTTGCAGGGTCCTATGGAGCCAACCTTGTGTGTGCTAGTAAGCTGTGTGTATCTCCACAAACACACAGTCACAGCAAGACAATCCTCTTCCCTGCTACTCCATCCTCGCTTCTCCAAGCTAGTAGATGAACGACTGCTGGAGACTGCTCTGCCCCTTGTGATCTTGTACTGGACAGGCAGTTCAGGGAAGCCAAGCTGAGAGAGTTGGAGCCGTTTGGAAACATGATGACTGTAAAAGCGATATTAAACCTTCTTTGTAAAAAAAATCATTGCTATAAAGGATGCCCACCTTTGGCTGAGGTTGGTGTTGATTTTCTTTGAGGGCCTGTTCACACCAGACGCAGTGCGCTCCGGCCCGATTCTGGCCAGAACGCACTGCCTTGCATTGCGGCAGGCTCACTTTTTTGTGGTGGAGGAGGGCCATTGAAGTGAATGGCACGGCAGCCACGGCCTCCGGCCGCAATGCAATCGGCTGCACGTGATCACAAGGCACATTATGCCTGTGGTCCAGTCCGGTACAATCAAAATAGTGCTTGCAGCATTTTGATAGGACTGGACTGCAGGCATAATGTGCCTGGCAATCCCGTGCGGCCGATCACATTGCGGCTGGAGGGCGTGGCTGCCGTGCCATTCACTTCAATGGCCCGCCTCACCCCCTCCTGCCCCACAAAAAAAGTGAGTCAGCTGCAATGCAAGGCAGTGCGTTCTGGCCAGAATCGGGCCGGAACGCACTGCATCTGGTGTGAACAGGCCCACAGTGGCTGTTTTAAATTCCTCGTTTTCTAGTAGGTCCCCGCAGCGATCTTCCCCCCGCCCCCTGCACGGGTGCCTCCAATGGCTAATGGAGGCACCTGCGCGCCCTTGTGCCCACAGTGGCTGTGTGCGTCCATAGACCCACACAGCCCTGTGGCAGGCCCCGCCCCTTCTC